GTTTTACAGAATCTTTTCTTATAGTGTTTGAAGTAAAGCAACTTAAAATGCATTATACAAGGATAATCCCATTCCATCTTTAGTTTAATCTATCTGTAAAACAAACGACAATACCAAATAAAATAACTCAGTTAGCTTAAGTAGAAATAAGATAAAGATAATATATATGCACACTCCAACAAGGGTCTCATGGTACCAGATAACGTTTTGCTGCTGTTCTTTAGTATTGTGTGTGTGTGGGGGGGGGGAGTTCTTGGGATTGAATCTAAGACCTCACATGGGTGAAGCACTTGCTCTACCACTTAGTTTAACACATACTCATCTTTAACCACCTTTCCTAGATCTAGAGATTCCACTTCATGCTGCTAGGGGGTATATGAGACAGCATAACTCATTATTTTTAGGCAGCTTCATGAACAGAACAATTGCTGTAGAAGTAGGGTGCAGGAGTTCAGGTGCTGAGGACCATGTAAAACCTGGATGTAGAGGACCTATGGAGAAGTACAAGTGCACACAAGAGAATCCTTGGAAGCTCACAGTGTGCAAACAAAGTGGAAATTGAGAACCAACACAGATGTTTTTTGAGCACCCCGACACTGCAGAATGTGCATGACTATATTCTCACACACACACAGTCACACACATAACATGCATACAACAACACATATACCCCACACACAAACAATCCGTGTACACAGATATTCACCATGCAAACAAAGAACCTCTAAAAGAGTCTCATGACAGTGCTCCTGGACAGTTTTGATTTTAAGAACAAGTGGACAAGATTGGGTGTGATAGCACATGCTCCCAGTACTCAGAAGGTTGAGGCAGGATTATGAGCTGAAAACTATCCCAAGCAATATAGCAAGATGCTGCCTCAAATGAATAAATAAATAACCTCCAAAAAAGTAGTGTAAGGGGAAAAAATCAGGAATCAGGTTAGTCATTTCTGTTTCTTCAATGCAGATCATTCTTGGAAGAGCAACAAGTTCTCTTAGCCACTGAGCTACCTCTCCAGCCCTTCAGATCATTCTTTAGGGAATATGGTTTCCTTATTTTGCCCATTTTTTCATCATTTTAATTTAGATGGTTTCTGGCTATTTCAATACACTGTGTTCAGAACATGACTTTGGATATTTCCCTTACAATCTGCTTCTCTAGCAATTCTAATTTGCTGTTTATCATTCTAACTTTTACTATAGGAGACTAGAAATCTTCCTCTGAGCTCTCTCACTCACATCTGCACAAGTGATCCAAGTACTGCCATTTCTATCTACAAAATGTCAGTGAGCTCCACTTACTTCCCTCTCAATGGTGACCACCTCAGTGGTGAGCTAGGGTCCTCTTCTCCGGAGGTGCTCAAAGAACCTTCAAACTGTCACCTGACAGTGTTGTTCTCTAAGTCATTTACACTCAAAAGACAGTCAGCTCATCTGGGAGTCCTTTCATAACGTCAACACAGCACTTATTTCTTTGTGTTTAGCATGCTATGAAAACTTTTTGTAAATGTAAAATTTAAAAGTGACTCATAACAGCCCTGAAGGCACCAGTGTGCAAAGGCTTTTCTAGTCTCATCCAATGTTCCCACCACCAGCTCTCACAGGACCCAACATAATCTATGTTGTGGTCCTCACCTGTTGCATAGAGAAGTTTCCTTGATAAAGGGTGAAGATTACACTTATCTAGGAATAAAAGGACATATGTTTATAGATTTTCCAGTAGCCATGCTCTCACTAGCACCATGCATCATTTAGGTTTCCATACCAGACATGGTATCCACTCTTGTTGAGTGGGTCTTAAGTCCAGTTAGAGAGCCAATTGTTATTATAAAGATAGGTGTGCCACTACTTCGCTCATAGGGTTATCATGCTGTGGTAGTCATTGAGGTGGCTTGTAAGCATCAGAGCTGTGGGGTGGAGCCTGTTGATTCCCTCTTCCCTTTAGAAGTTTGCATGGTGCCCTCTAGTATCATAAAGTATAGTCTTAAGGGAGGGGACATTCAATTCAGTTCCAGCTCAGAGTCCTTTGGGTCCTATTTTGAAAGGAATTACTTTGACCTCTGGAAAATAACCAAGGAGAACAACAACAGACTGTATGTTTTGGCAGTCTCTTATATTGCCCTTTCCTAAAACTCAAAAGAGGAATTCTCATATTTGGTAGTTTTCAAATTTTATTTTATAATTTAATTTTACATATCAGCCACGGATTCCCTTGTTCTCTCCCTGCCCCCTCCCCAGTCTACCCCCCATTCCCATCTCCTCCATGGCAAAGACTCCCCTGAGGATTGAGTTCAACTTGGTAGATTCAGTCCAGGCAGGCCCAGTCCCCTCCTCCCAAGCTGAGCCAAGTGTCCCTGTATAAGCCCCAGGTTCCAAACAGCCAACTCATGCACTGAGGACAGGACCCAGTCCCACTGCATGGATGCCTCCCAAACAGATCAAGCTAATCAACTATCTCACTTATCCAGAGGGCCTGATCCAGTTGGGAGCTCCTCAGTCATTGGTTCATAGTTCATGTGTTTCCATTCATTTGGCTATTTGTCCCTGTGCTTTTTCTACATGGACAACCTGGACGTGAGTGGGGGTAATGAAGGGCAAGGGTCGAGGGAAAGAGAGCTTGAGGAGCAGGAGATCCCAGCTGGATCAAGAACAGAGTGGGAGAACAAGGAATAAGAGACCATGGTAAATGGAGACCACATGAGAATAGGAAGAAGCAGGGTGCTAGAGAGGTCCCCAGAAATCCACAAGGATACCTCCACAATAGACTACTGGCAATGGGTGAGAGAAAACCCGAACTGACCTACTCTGGTGATAGGATGGCCAAACACCCTAAATGTTGTGCTAGAAACCTCATCCAATGACTGAGGGAACCAGATGCAGAGATCCAAGGCCAGGCCCCAGGTGGAGCTCCAGGAGTCCAATTGGTGAGAAAGAGAGTGGTTTGCATATCTGGTATTTTAAAAGAAAGTTTCAGGCTATTAAAATGGCTCGGTAGGCAAGGTACTTGCCACCAAGCCTAAGGATTTGATCCCTGGGATGTTCATAGTAGTAGAGAAATGACTCTTATGGGTTGTCTTCTAACCTACACATGCATGCCATGGCTTGCACTTCACACACACACACACACACACACACACACACACACACACACACACAAATGCAATTTTAAAAATAAAAAATAAGTCATTTAAAGATAAAATGTTGTCATTGAAATTTTCAATTTATAAGTAAATTTTAATAATTTGAAAACCTAGAGTAACTTATTTAGGAAACGTGTCAAATGGAAAGTAGTAAAAAGTTTTTTGTATCTTTTCTTCAAAGCATTTTATAATAGAATTCATACAATCAGGGATATATTTTGAGCCTGGTTATATATGGTGTGAGGTCAGAGTTGATGCCAAATATTGCTTCAAGTTATGCTATTTTTTTTTCCTGGACAATAATTAAATTTCTTCATTTTTTTGTTACCCGACATAAAAAAAATCCCTCCATTTATGTGTTTGTTTTTCAACCATTTATTAATTCTTTCTAACTACATTTGCCAATTCTGTTTAGTATAATTTTAATCTGGAAAAAAAAAGAATGCTGGCAAATACAATTCTAACAAAGTGACCAAATGTAACACTGCAGCTAGGTCAGTCATTATCTGAGAGGTTGAATTTGATTCTTGGGATGTCCACAGTAGTAGAGAACTTACTCCTGATAGGTTCAAATAAGAAGAACAAGATATCACTTATTGTCAAAAGTTCAGAAATTGAATACAATCATTAATAAGTTGGCATTCTACAAGAAAATTAACTTGAAATCCTTAAAAATATTAGGAAGTGGAGATCTGTTGACATTTGGAGAATTGAAAGCTCAGAAAACTGAATGAAACATGTGAATCTTGTTGGATCATGCTGTGCAACATCAACCACTGAACTATGAGAATGACATGGTGGCTTTTATCTTGAACTGTGAGGAGTTCTAATGATCTGAAGGAGACTTACAAAGGCCTATAAGGATAGATAAAGCTACTGCCAGATACCATAAGTTATTAAAAGAAAATCCTACTACCAGGGGTTTGAATTATTGGTCAAATAATCACCCGAGGTCCCTAAAGTAATACAGGTAATTGCTGCTTTTAGAGGTTGCCCAGCAGAACTAAATGGTAAACCTATTAATGAATACACTCCTCATCTCAGTTGTAAGACACAGAGAAATCATGCTGGAACTGGGCTGTAAACTTCTTCCCTGTTAGCTCTTACAATGTCAGAAGGTGCTGTACAGGCTATTGGGTAAAAGTAGTCACCTGTGTGAATTTACTCAACTATGAATGCTGTACGTAATTATACCAATAAGCCAGGAAAGATCAACTCACTGATGAGATCGTGGCAAGAGTGTTATTGGGGTTACCAAATACTTTCTGTTTCCTGGATTTGATGCCTCTACCACAGAAAGGAATTCATGTATGGTACTATAAACTTGATTAAATGCTCATCACTGGGAAGGTCTAACCAAGAAGCTATTTTGCTAAATGGTCAAATTGCCTTCTAAATAACAATATATAAGCCCATAAATTATTTTTGACATAAATTTACTATAGACAGCTAACAGTTCCTAGATGAGAGGCTTAAAAGCTCATTCCTCAAGGAATTATAGGTACTTAAAGATTCTGGAGGAGGGGTTCCTGAGGTCTCACCTTTCACCTCAAGGCTTTATGGACTGCTAAGAGTCAGTAAGGAAGATTTCCTCTTTTTTTTTCTTTCAGTGGTGCAGCCATCTATAAATCACTGGTATCTTTCTAAATAACGTTTCACCTATGCTCCTGAAAACAATCCTAATTGAACTCATTATCCCATCAAGTTACATTTGAGTTGAATCATTCCCTTAGGATTTATCATTAGTGTCTTGTCTAGTGAATAGACATTCATTTGTTTCCCTGTGAGAAGCTCAGATCACACTTGCTTCCTGAATGTGAGACACGACAAAACCAAAGATGAGTTTAGGAGAAGCACTTACGTTGGCTCGGCTGTGGATGATGACACAGGCCACTGAAGATAAGCTATCTGAGGCTGGTGTCCATGAGGGCAATTCTAATGTGACTGTCTTCCCTATGCACCATGGACTAGCATGGCTTCTTGCCACAGTAACAGTTGAATAGCCTTAGCTGTGGGTGAAAAGACATGCAAATAAGTGTTTTCCATCTGAAGATGTAGTGTCCATGGGGAGAAATCATATTAGCTGCCATCCTCTATGTATAGTAGGGTGCTTTTTTGGATGAATCTATTCCCTCTAGTGAGAATGGGTACAAGTTGTAAATGGAGAAAATAAAACATCTTCAATAAATGGTGCTGCTCACACTAGATAGCTACATGTAAAATAATGAAACTCAATCCTTATCTCTCATTCTGTATAAAAAAAATCAACTTCAAATGGATTAAATACCTTAACATAAAACCCAATTCCCTGGCTCTGATAGAGGAGAAACTAAGGAATACACTTGAACTCATTAATACAGGAATTTCTGAAAGGGTCTGATAGGAAAGGTGTTAGTATTAGCAATTAATAAATAGGACCTCGTGAAATTAAAACATTTCTGTACAGTAAAGGACATTACTCAAGTGAAGAGAAAGACTATATAAATGAGAAAAATATCCATCAGCTATCCAATAAGGATTCAGGGTTAATAGCTAGAATAAGAACACAAATAAATAAACATCAAGATTTCTTCACCAAAAAATTAGGTGACTATAAGAGTGTAGGTTTATATGTAGGTTCTAATTATATTCCAATGATCAGTAAGTCCTATAGCTGAGGAGTTATTGGTAATTCTTAATTGCTGGGAGAGAGACAAATTTCTCAAAGAATATATCTCCTGATAATTCTACCATACCATAGAGGATGGCCACACATCAAGAAGATTTGAGCAAAGTGACCTTGAATGGGAATAAAAGTGAAAATTGACAGAAGACACAAAGTTGGGTTGGAGGGAAAGGGGTGCATCTAGGAACAGTTAGATGAGAGAGAGTAAATATGATTGAAACATGTACAACATTCTCAAAAAACTAAAAACATATGCCCTCTTTGAATCTGGCTTATAAGGCTGTAGGGATGTATGTGTGCATGGGATTAGTTTGAATACTATAGAGCAAAGAACACAAATAATTGAAGCTCATCCCTCCTTAAGAAAAGGCTTGCAGCATAACCTGAAGCAACATGAAGGAAAGCATTCCATGATGGACTGGCTTGTAAAAACCATTAGAATCACTGGGTTATGATGTTAGGAATGGGATGACAATACAGGAAGAATAGGCACTGCTGAGGAAATTGGGCGTGATGGAGTTGGTGTTTATGTCCAGTCACAGAAAACAAGCTGATTCAGAACAAATCTTGAAACTGGTTTGGATTTGTAATGACTTTGCTTGAGCCCTGTGGTGAGACATAGTATTTCCTGAGCAGGATAAGCTTTGGCACATGTGAATGATTTAGTCTTGCATATAAATGGCATTTGCAAAGGGTCAAAATAATCAAGAGGCTATGAGAAAAAGATAAAGCAGATAAAAGGGCCTGACTGAGTCACTTAAAAGCAAATGTAGACAAGATTTGTGTAGAGTCAGAGTTCCTAAGGAAAATAAATTGGCAGAGTCAAATTTAATGCTATGAGCCTCTGGAAGGTTGTAAACCTGAGTAATAGATTAATGAAGTTATAAATGACAGAGTTATAGAGAAGAAATTTTGTCTAGGAGTGGACAGTTACACATCACATTGTACTCCTATCCAGAGTAATGTGTATACATTTCTCTTCTGAAAGAAAGTAAACTGGAAGTGAATTATTAATCTGGCCATCTACTAATCTATGTAGCAGTGTGTGAGCAATGGCAGCAGCAAGCCAGGACTCCACCCTAGAGATTGTTAGACATGGTGGCCCTGTGGCAGCATCCAGTTGCTTGCAGGCTTGTGACAAGGCAGTGTATCATGGTGCACAAGGCTCTTTGAAGTTTTTCAACTAGAATGGCCAGGAAACAGAGAAGGGAAGGTATCAGAATCCCAGTTCAAGGGCTCAGCCCCAGTGACATTAGTCCTCCAATCAAGGCCTACTTCCTGAAGGTATCACCAGCTGGGGAACCAACTTTCAACATATAAAGCTTTCAAGGACATTTAAGATCTAAAACATAATGGAGCTGAATTATATGCCTTCCGCAACCATGCACTGAAATCTCAAAAACAAAATCAGAGACTGAGACAATTTTTGGAGGTGAAGTTTGAACAGAGGAAGTTAATTTTGTGATCAATAAGGTGATCTTTGATCTATACCACCATTGTCCTTTGTGGGCGCCTACTGTGACTCCAGCTTCTGGCTTGATTCCATTTGACTCAGAGTCAGAGAGTTCAAGTTTGTCTTTGCTTCTTAAGGCTAGATAACAGGATGTTTGGCCAAAGGTGTGGCTACTAGAAGTTTTGCTCTTCAAGGTCACATAACAGGATGTTTGGTCAAAGGCGTGGTTACTAGATGCTTTGAGAGTTAAGGAGATGTTTATGCTTGTTTGTTTCTTGAACCATTGTGTCCTAGGAGTGGGGGGGGGGGTCTTTTGCCTCCCCTTGCTTTAGGTATAAAAAGGCTGTGAGAAGTAAACTCGGGCTGCTGCGGTATTGACTCAGAGCCCCCCTGAACCTATCCTATGTCTCTGTCTTTTCTTTATGTCTATCTGTTTTTTCTCAGTCCTCACTAACCTATTTATGAACGTTTGACAGTCCTTCTAAGAGAAGACATTCATGCAAAGGAGAAGGGGGTGTGATAAGTCATGGGGAGAAAACAGACATCTATAAACCAAGGAAAGAGACTCAGAATACATCCATTTCTCTAAGGCTTGGGGAAGAACAACCAAGCACCATCCAGATAAGATTCATCCCTTCTGTGGTATTTTGTTATAGATGTTCTTATAATCTAACACTAGATGACAGGGTGCATGACATGGGACCACATGGTCAAAATCTTAGCAAGTGTCTAGTACAAAATATACTCATTAAGTGGTATTTGCCATTACTGTTATTAAAACATAGAAGTTTTTATGATTAGACATAGTTTTTTCCCAAATAGTAATTTTACAATAAAATATAATTTCCTATTAATATTTAAAGCAAGTCAAAGACTGTGACCTGAAAAAAATTTCTTAAAATAATAATTACATGTTAAAAGTGACCTGAGAGATAATTACTCTATTTATTTTTTTTATTTAACAGAGAATGTAGACTACATAATTGTATCTACATTAAAGCACGTTAGAGGCAAACTGGTTTTCAAAGAGATGTCTAGATATTTGCTTCAGAATTGTTTTAAAACACTACTTTATAGGTATGTTTGGTTTATGTCCCAAAGCTGACATTTTCCCAAATGGGTGCTTTAATTATTTTCTTCAAAATAAATTAACATTTCCCTATGTTTACATCAGAAGTTACATCTTAGCTGTTTCAGACACCTGTAATTTTATAGGAAATAGCTCTCTTTTCCTTAGTAAGACCACACCCAAGAGATAACTTTATGTTCCAACAAGGATTCAGGTTCCTTTCAACCCAACACACTTATATTCACTGCTTTTTAACTTGCTGCTTCTCATTTTAAAAGCTTGTTCTAACCAGTTAGCTAGAGTGCAGTGGCACTGAACTAAAGGTCCACAGGCACAAGAAAGCTCTGAGACAGCCCGTTGCCATGGAGTTAGGGTGGGAATGATGAACTAACTTAGTTGACAGGCATCTGAGGTCAATAAACCACCGAATCTAGATCAGAATGCCAAACCAAGAGATAAAATGAGCAAATGGTATGGAAGGTGAATAAAATGAAAACAAATCACAAAATGTCCCTGAAAAAGCATAAGGAAATAAAAACTCAGTACATCATAGGAATAGGATGTGCAGAGGAAGTATTCAGTACATAGAAACATTTCTGTGTACTTCTAAGTCTGTGTGGGCACTCAAGAATTGGGTAGAAAGAACCACACAGTGGGTTTGAAGGATCATGCTTCACAGGATGAGTGGGTGGATTTGGTAAAGTTAATTATTCATCTCTTTGATTATTTCATTACCTTGTTAGCTACACACAGCATCTGAGTATTGACACGATAGTCCAGGAAATGCAAACAGAAAACTGAAATATACTAAAATGGTAACTCTTTCAAATTTCTGGTGTATTCTGGTACTCCTTTATCTGCCTGCCTCCTTTACTGAGGTTGGGAAAGTGCTAACCTTTATCTGCACTGTGAAGTCCACGCCCATATCAAAACCCAATCCTAACCATAGGGGAAATCAAAGACCTTGACAGTCACTCAATATTTTCAATCATATTTGTTGATTTGACTCATAGCCCTGATTACTGGGCATCTGCCTTAATTCTACTGGTTAACTCAATCTCATAACCATCTGTTCCATTTAGCCTGTGTTTTGTCCTTACTAGTCCAGGCAAATATTTTGATTTCTTGTATAAATAGTTCACCCATTTTAGAAACCTATTGTATCATTTCTGGTCCTCAAAGAAGGTCTACACCTAAAAAACAAGATATATGGATAACCTCTGGCTTCTCCTGGTGCTTAAAGAACCCTAGAATTCTAAGCCATGGCTCTGTGGCCTACCAGAGGCTCCTTTTGCTCCACGTGGTGCTTGCTTTTAGAACAAAGACCTACACCTTTTGGCCAGATCCCCAAATTAAAGCAAACCACCACTCTCCACATCTCTCTCTGTATTAGAGTAGAAGACACTGTCTGAGCTGTGGTCTTAACAGTAACTCCTGATTTATGATACTAACCAATATCTGTTTCCTTCATGCTCTTGGTCAGTGTATGCTATAGTGAACTGAACTGTGTGATATGAAACTGCCTGCTACTCCTAAAAGGTTATAAATAAATAGACTATTCCATTTTCTTGAGAATTTGGTTCAGAGAGACTCCTGGGGATGGGGGACTTGATGGGAGAGGCATTCTGAAGCTGCTTTCTGAAAAGGCATCTCTGCCTCCATCCCCATATACGCACACTGGTAATGAAGCTTCTTCCTAGTCTTTAAAAAGAAGCTCCTTCTTCCCTTTAAGGCCTCATCATGTTTAGATTCTCCATATAGGTCATTGTTTCTGTGTAATGTTTTCCCAGCCATCTTGAGACCCACTCGTGTTCTT